CTGTTTATCAGAATTTGTTGCTCAGAAATTAAGGTGTTTATTATTATGTGAGATGTTTGAGGTGCGCTGTCTGGTCACGTGATCCGCTGCCGTAATTAGCTCTGTTATATTTGTCTCTAATAGGCAAATCTATGGAAGTTGAATACCCAAATATATTACGGCGTCAGACTGCGGTGTGTTATCGTGCCGTCATTGTTGTTTTGCAGTCGGACTGAAATTATCGATAATGAAGAAGCGAATGAGCAGCCATTGCGTGCATTCTACCCATTTACTGGTGTTTTTGTGAAGGTTCCCGAGGGATCAACGATAAAGCACATTTCCCATCATAACATCATAATTTACCATTGTGACATCTCTTTCCTTCGATTATCAGTATCAGAAAAAACAGAGCACTGTTATTCTCACTCGAGCGGATTGATTGTCTCTTCACCGCAACCCGTCGAAAGAATTCTTTAGATCTTAACGTTTGGACGGTTGGACGTTCGGCATTCGTACGTTTTTCAGATTTATCACTGGTGAATGTCTCTGTATAGTTGCCTAGAATTCCGACTTAATCAACAAAGGGCATATTTCGTACAAGAGAAACGGAGGGTTTTGAAATATTCATTAGTTTTGTGAATACTCNCTCTTGATTCGCTCAATTAACCTCTTACGTCATATGTGCACTGCAGTATATCTATCTGTAAATGTCACTTCCAAGTACTCCGATCCAGTCATATGCAGTTATTTACCTGATGCATTTGCAGAACAGCAACAAGAGTTCATGCACCCTTCTGTTGTGATATCTGCGATTTTCGTCATTCGTTTGGGTCATTTATTATGCAGAGCTATAAATATTCCTTGTTAACTTTCATAGTTCACAATTCTCTTCAGAATCTCGAACATATTAGTTTCAAGGCAATTCTTTTCAGTGACCAATGCTATGAGTAGGAGGGCTTGAATTTAGTGTGAAGAAATTTTTTCCATCCGAAAAATCGATCCAGGAATGAGTAATTGAACAAGCTAATTAATGCAGCGATATCTCGCAGCGATCCGCGAAACAGTAACCGGATATGATCCAACTAATCCGTGAAATTGAATCCACACAAGATTAACAATGTATTCTGTGTGGGTATGAAGAATCATGTTGCGCTGGATTACATTCACTCCGAGAAATATTCTACCGTTGCACTTGATAAAAGTGCACATATGGTCAATGCATAGAGGATGCTTTTCATTTTGAAGTTATTGTTCTTGATCGAACATCATCAATACGTTATCTACGTGGGCACTCACCACTGCTGACTGTTCGAGTCTATCCAACCTACGCTGACGTAAAATTTTTATCCATTTTATTCATATCCGCAATTGTTCATCAAAAATTTCTGTTCATATCCATATTGGATTTTCGTTTTCACGTTCCATATTTTCGTTTAATTCACAGATTGTTCTTTGAAGAGCACAAGCATTATAAGTACCCTTCGCTTTTGAAATTTATGACAGAAATGCCTCACAGCTTTCTTTCTTGCCGATCTCGTTGTGTGTCATTACTTTACGATTACATCGTTTTTAAACATGTATGGTGGTTGATCTACTGAGATTTTCTTTTAGTCTACCTACCAAAATTTTTCCATTTTTTGCCGATGAAAAGGCATTGTACGATCATTTTGCTATTGTTTTAGCAATAGAGATTGTTTGCTTCAATGAGAAGATAAGTTATGTGATGCGGAAAAATTCGAATGCTAAGAAATGTTCAGATGGCTTGATTTAAGAGTGGTTGGTATACCTGAAAGGAGGCTATACCATTGTCTCACCTTACTTCCTAGATACGATTGCGCTCAAATACGGGTGTATTTGCACGCACGCCATCAGGGTGTGAAAATGACGAGCTGATAATTTGAACCTTTTGGTGAAGACTTTTCGCTAGAACAACGCTGAATGTGCAAAATGATTTAGTAGACGAATTGATTGAAACAGCGTTCATTATTCAAACGCATAAGTAAATGAACATTTGGTTTATTAAGTATTGCTCCTAAGAAACTGAAATGATGAGATACAATTGATCAAAGTCATGATCGTTTTATTTGGAACGCTAAATCATCCGTCAACATGACGTTCACGAATAATGCAAATGGGTCTTGTCAAAGCACGATCGCGGATGCGTTGTTCGAAGTAAATTATGGCTGAGTGAGTGAAATTTATGACTTCAATTGAAACCAACAACCGAACATGAATCATTTCCTATCGTATAATGTCTACAGTATGCGTTCCAGCAGAAACACATTGTCGATTTGCAAAGCCGTTGTCACACTTGCACAAATCGTTCAGGCTGCTATCACTACCTCCTCTTCGCTGTTGTCATCCCTTAGCCGTATGAGTACTACTCCATTCCGAGAATCGATACGAGTATGTCGACAATATCAAATATATTTTCCATCCATTTCACTCCTAGTCTCAGTTTATGCGCGTGTTTTTCCTCTTTCTCATCTATTTCAAGTATCACTTCTCGCATAATGTCATTTGTTGTTCACAGCAAACAAACTTCACAAACACACGAAAAATGCGTGAATCTGCATGGAAAATAATACTAGTCAATGCCTTGTAACTGTAGAAGTCTATTGTGGTTCGTCAATACTTTATTATCATTCGCTCCAATTGCTACAAATGTACACTGATTGTTGCCATCGATACGTTTGAAATATTCAAATGCTCATACGGTGATACCTAAACGAGACGTTGAACACGTCGAACTCATCAATTTCTCTGCAAGAAACAGGTATATTATAGCAAATGGCATGGTTAAAACCAAAATTTTTGGAGCTAATGGATAACTTTGAATGATTGAAACGCAATTATATTCGTTTTTCATCGCTCATAGTTTTGTGGCTGATTCTGCTCGTGACAGTTGAACGGAGCACTTGAATCATTGCAGTTGTTGACATTTTCGCAAAAATAGCTGTAGTTCTTACGGATGAATGGGCGTTTACCTCATTGAATGCTGGTCAATGCGATTGCATTTTTTCGACAATGAAAAATATCATATTTCATCATATGTTTGTTGGATGTGATTACAGCATGCATGATGTGATGTGGTCGTTTTTCGCTTACCTAGCGATTAAAGCATTCATAATCTTCATGCTTAGCGTCATCTCTTCAGTCTCATCTCTGAATCCTTCCATTGTTATGACCGCTTTGTCTTACTCAGTTCAGCAGTTTTCTTATGCACTCTTCTGATGAAACCAACTCCTTAACCATGACTGATTGATCTGTAGAGGTCTTATTCCCAAATCTAAGACAATTTGCCTTTCTGGTCGAAACATTGCTTATGCTCATGGAATTTTCGTTGCATTAAGGCTGGACATTTCCGAATTTCCTCATATAACATGAACTCTTTGGAGAAGTTTCAGCATCCTTCTACTCTCTTTCAGCATCCTTCTACTCAGGC